GTGGCTGGCGCCTTAGCCGGTTGAGCGATAGGCGCCGAGCCCAGGAGCTTTTATTTTCAATGTCACTTGATCTCGAACCTTGAACTTTACTCTTTAAGGCTTGCAAGATGGACTTTATAAGAGAGGAAGAACTAACAAAATCAGATTTGGCTTTGACTCTGGAGCTCTGAGTAAATGTAGGAAAGCCGAGTCTCAGCCTGGTGTTGGCTTTGTCTTTTGCTTGGTAAAGACTTCCCCTCGTCCAGGTCTTTAACTCTGTGTCCACCCTCCCTCTTTCCTTTTTAATGCTTGAACTTAAGGTACCTTTTGTCTCGGTTTATGCTTGGATCCTAGCTAACAAGTTGGTTCAAACTGGTGGGCGCTTTAGATTTTCTAGTGGCGTCCGCAACGTTTCTGACCATCAGGTAGGTATTGGGGGGCCTAGTGTAGCGAGACATGACGCCACCTCTGTGTGGCCGCTGCCGCCGGACCCGCGGCGCCTCTCCCGCCGCCGCCGCTGGAGCTCCGCCGGCCTCAGCGCGCCCTTTCCCTGCGCCCCGCGCCCGAGCCCGGGGAACGCGCGATGGCGACAGCCAGGGTGTGTCCGGAGGGCGGGATCCGGAGGGGACCGGGGGCCGAGACGGGGGAGGGGAAGAGGGCTCTGCTCGGACGGCCTGGGTGGGGTGGGACTGGGCCCCATCATACATTCTTGACTCATGTGTTTTCTGTTTTTAGTGACTAAGAAAAACATAAATGAGAAAGGTTTCAGAATTCTTTCAAATTATTCATTATTAGAGGTACATCTGCCTCCAAAGTATTTCGAGTATGTAGTGTGTAATACCAGCATAAATGAATTGATAGGTTGGCTGATTTAATAAGGATTATAAGAGTTTTACATATATCTAGAAGAAAGTGTCCACTCTCACTTATTAAATGAATGGAAATGAAAACAAGGCATAGAGAGGATTTTTGTCTATTAAAGTGGCGAATGTTTTAAAAATTACAAAAAAAAAAATCACATGTTGATGAGTTTGCAGCAAAATGAGCAATCTCAACCCATTTCCCCCCCCTTCCCTTCCCTACTATCAACCCATTTTTTAATTAGCTAAACTTCTCTAAAGAGCAGCTTGGAAGTATATCCAAAAGGTTAAAAATGTTTATACCTTCGACCCAGCAATTTCCTGTCTAGTAATTTATCCTGAAGAAGTTAACTAGATATATGCATACAAATTTATGTTTTGTGGTATTTTCATGTTAAAAACTTTTAAACCATCTAAATAAGAGTAAGAAAATTGTAATATAAATTATAGTACATCTATATGATATTATGTAATTCTTAATAATTAGGCTTTGAAAAAATATTTAAAGATGTGGGAAAGGTGATGTAATGACAAAATCAGGACATAATTGAAATTCAAAGCTATAGACAATGTATGGTGTGATATATTAAAATGTGAATAAGTCAATATATATGCATGGGGAAAATGCAACAAGAAAAATCTCTAGGAAGAATTTACAAGTCACTTTTTGCATTTTTGTTATGATTTCTTTCTTTTACTATGTTTTTTGTAACAAGTACCACTTTTATATTAGGAAAAATTACATATGAATGATAATGCTATTTCCATTGGAATAAAATAATAAGCATTTGTTCAAAATATATTTTTAGTTTCCACAATTTATATTCAAAGTCTTTCCCTTTATTTTTTTTAGACAGAGTCTCACTCTCTTGTCCAGGCTAGAGTGCTGTGGTGTCAGCTCAGTCTCCCAAGTAGCAGGGACCCATAGGTACCTGGCTAATTTTTCTTTTTCTTTTTTTCTTTTTTTGCTGGGGCTGGGATTGAACCCACCACCTTTGGCATATGGTGCTGGTGCCCTACTCCCTTGAGCCACAGGAGCCACCCTATTTTTTTTTTTTTTTTGAGACAGAGCCTTAAGCTGTCGCCCTGGGTAGAGTGCTGTGGCATCACAGCTCACACAACCTCCAACTCCTGGACTCAAGCGATTCTCCTGCATCTGCCTCCCAAGTGGCTGGGACTACAGGCGCCTGCCACAATGCCTGGCTATTTTTTTTTTTTTTTTGCCCTCACTGCTGTTTGGTGGCCTGGGCTGGATTCGAACCCGCCAGCTCAGGTGTATGTGGCTGATACCTTAGCCACTTGAGCCACAAGTGCCGAGCCTAATCTTTCTATTTTTAATAGAAATGGGGTATTGGTCCTGCACAGGCTGATCTCAAACTCCTAAGCTCAGGCAACCCTCACACCTCGGCCTCTCAGAGTGCTAGGATTACAGGTGTGAGACACTGTGTCCAGCCCAAAGTCTTCACTCTTCATGGCACTAATGAAGTTCTTTCTCCTTTTCCACTCCCAATGCAAATTCTTGGTTTTATTCTTTGTTTTTAGCTCTAGAATCTTTACTATATAAAATTTTGTTGACTTATCAAAATTGGGGGTGTCACTCTGAGTTAAAGAAAACAAAGCAGTACACAAGGAAGGGCATGAGCTGTGTCTTTGGTCATACAGACCTAGAACGACTAACATTTGGTTTCGCTATCCTAAACTTTGTGTAGTCAGGCAATTCATTTAATCTTGCTGAAATTTACTGTCCTTCCCTTATAGCAGGGATAATACTTATCTCGAAGAACTGTTACAAGGCTTAGGAGGTAATATGCAAAGCTCAAAATGACTTCTGACACATAGCACATACCCAGTATTTGATAACTATAAAATTATTTGTAATTGTAAAGAAAAATTCATTTCATCATTACCTTAATTGATGGACTGATACTTTGAGGATTTAATAGATACTGTATGGTAAGTCTTTTGGGAAAAGCACTTATCTGATAAGTAGCATTAAAATGACATTTCAGTTTAACCTGTTGTTGAAGGTACACATTTTATTTCCTCTGTTTAGGTAAAGGATTTATCTTCAGACACACTTCTGCAGCAGCATGATGATTTGGATTTGGCTTTGGATAGTTGTTATAGTGGAGATACAGTAGTTATTTTTCCAGGAGAATATCAAGCTGCAAATCTTGCTTTATTGACCGATGACATCGTTATAAAGGGTTAGAAGGGCATCTTTTGCAGTTTTTGTAATAACAATATATACTGGACAAATTGTATTTACAAATATGCTTAATGGAATTATTAGAAATTAGAATAGAGTTTATTGTTTCACAAAAATCTCTTATGTGCCTTTTGCAGTACTCAAACTACCTTTTTCTTATCTGTCCTCATATCTACAGCTCTTCCTATCACTTAGTAAGAAAACCTAGATGTAAGACTAGGTTCAGCACATTGGGTAGCGCCTGTGGCTCAAGGAGTAGGGTGCTGGCCTCATATACTGGAGGTGGTGGGTTCAAACCTGGCCCTGGCCAAAAAACTGTGCAAAAAAAAAAAAAAAAAAATATAT